GTTTTCTACTGAAAACTATGTGCTTATTCTTGACTAATGTTTATATATTTGTAAAAAGGAAGAAAAACAAATAAAGAAAGGTATAATGCATCTATTAATTATGTTTTTGACATATGACGGATTGCTTGTTTGTATTGTAGGAAAGACAAAGGGTTATATATGATGAGCAGAAGAAGTTAGCTCAGCATCAAGCACAGACTAAATCCCAAATGGCACGATACGAGGATGAATTGGCAAGGAAGAGAATGCAGGTACATGCTTGCAAACGTCTAAGTTTGGGTTTGTTTCTTTATGTGTTCAATATGCAGACCTTTTTGTGACCTATAATATACTTACAGGCAGAAAATGAGTATCAAAGAGCCAGGAATCAAGAACTTGTAAAACTACAAGAAGAGTCATCAATTCGGCAAGAGCAAGCACGTCGAGCTACTGAAGAACAAATTCAAGCCCAAAGACGGCAAACAGAGAGGGAGAAGGCTGAGATAGAGCGTGAAACCATCAGAGTAAGGGCTATGGCAGAAGCAGAAGGAAGGGCCCATGAAGCAAAGCTTGCTGAAGACGTAAACAGGCGAATACTAGTTGATCGTGCAAATGCAGAGAGAGAAAAATGGATTGCCGCAATTAATACTACTTTTGATCATATTGGAGGTATTAACCGAACTGTATTTAATTTAGATCAATATTGTATGCATAAAATGTTTGATGGAAAAATCTTCTCCATGATATTTCTGTATAACTATTTTGTGACAAACAGATGCTTTTTCCTCTTATAAATTAAAAACCATGTATGCATTACTTTGTATGTTAATCTCGATCAATTTATTACCTCTTAACTTCTCCCATCCAAATCCATTTCACATGTTTTGTTTATACAGTGAACCTTAAATCATTAATGCAATCTCAAACATGTGCAATGATGAGGCCATGTAAAAAGCGATCAAATTAATTTATTTACTAGGTGAATTAGTATCTTAAATAACCTGCCACAGGGTCAGCCATTATTATTTTCGAGGAAAAATGGTGGCAAATGTTCTTTTTAGCCCTACCTTTTTATTGTTTTGGAGAGGAGCAGAGAGTTGGTTATCCTCTTACATCATAAGAGGTGGCTGACCTTCTTAACCAATTTAAGTCTCTTGAAGTATGATTTAATATTAAAAGAAATTTCCTTCATGATAACAGTGTCGTTTGCATTAGTGGCTTGTGGCCTATATGTTGGGTCTGGCTGATGTCTACGTATCTTTTCTTTTTAATTCTAGAATAGGCTAGTGACTTTATAAAATTCCGTAGCAAAAATAGTTCCATATTCACAACTTGTGCCAAGTTAAGTAATATATGAATTCTTAGCACTAACACGGGTGTCAGTATTGCATAGAATTGGTCTGGTTCTGATTCTATTCACATTTGCAGGAGGTTTAAAGGCCATTTTGACTGATCAAAATAAATTGATAGTTGCTGTTGGTGGAGTTACTGCATTAGCTGCAGGCATTTACACGACAAGGTATTTATTAAATGCTAAAACGTTTTGTGAAACAGGATACTTGTATTTCTGTGAAAATCTTCTTGCTCTGCTAGGGTTAAATTGTTCGTTTATTTAATTTCCTTTCTACTTTATGAGCTGCATTTTGTGCAAAGTTGTGTAAAATGTTTTTGCCCATTTGAGAGGAAGATTTTGAGACTGTAATTTATTTGCATTTAGATTTTGGATTTGAATTCATTCAAAAGTAGCTAGTTTGGATTTTTCTTTTTGGAGGTTTACTTTGTTCTATATCCTTTCCTAATAAGAGGAAAGGTTGCTTGACATATCCGATGTTTGCTACTCTTTGGGGCATCAACTTCTGAATTTTTTTTAAGGATAGGTTTATGTAGGGAGGTGCGGAGTTAGAATTTTTTTTAAGGGCATCAAATTTTTTTCAATCCCTTTTTACTGAATGCAGAGTTTGTGGCTTTTCCTTACTGTAGAGAAGGTGCAAAGGTGATTTGGAGCTATGTGGATAGAATATTAGGTCAGCCATCACTGATTAGAGAGTCCTCTAGAGGGAAATACCCTTGGTCAGGGTTGCTCTCCCGTGTCATGAGCACTGTATCACGTGGTTCAGATAAGGGGTCTTCATCAAAAAATGGAAATGGGTTTGGAGATGTAATTTTACACCCTTCACTTCAAAAGCGGATACAACAATTAGCAACAGCAACTGCAAATACGAAGTCTCATCAGGCTCCATTTCGGAATATGCTTTTCTATGGCCCTCCTGGAACAGGAAAGACAATGGCTGCTAGAGAGCTAGCTCGCAAATCTGTAAGAGTTCTTTTATATCATCTCTTGTTAAGTTGTTGAAAGCTTTGAAAGTATAAAATTCACCATCAAGTGTTATTATTTATGAGCATTGTCACAACTCTAAAAAATTGTTAATGTAACTAGAGAAGTATCCACTGTTTTGGCTATAATTAAAATTCTTGGAATACCTTAGGGATTTTTTTTTTAATTGTCCCGACTATTTCACCTAAGTGGGTAGTGATTGTGGCTTGCAGGTAAGTTACAGCTTACTCATTCCAAAATGAATTTTTGTTTTGATTCAATTTGTAACTGCGGGGTAGAATAAAACCTGTGAACTGAACTTTATGGCTTTTTTGGTAGTATATATTTCAGATTAGCATGTGCAGTTTTCTAGTTGTGGGTAAGCATTGAATTCTTGAATTTGAACTGTGGTTAGCAAACAATCAAAAACTACTACTGGTGAAACTGATGATTTTCAGGCTAGTTACACAAATTCTGCGACCAGTTTTAGCAATGAGTTGTTTGTTGATGTGACCAGTTTTAGCAATGAGTTGTTTGTTGATGTGATGGGAGTTTGTACATTTTTTTACTTCCTTATTTACTGTGCCGTACCTATCAGTCACTGATTTTTCTTTTTTTTTTTTTTTTTTTTTTTTTCTATGCTCGTAGGGACTGGATTATGCATTGATGACAGGAGGGGATGTTGCTCCTCTGGGATCACAAGCTGTTACTAAGATACATCAGTTATTTGATTGGGCTAAGAAGTCTCGTAAGGGCTTGCTGCTTTTCATTGATGAAGCAGATGCATTTTTATGCGAGTAAGTCGAACTTGCTTAATACAAATAAATATCAATTTTTTCTTCGTGCAGTATACTTTTTATCTCTATTCATGTTTGTAATGAAACATAATTTATGATATCTCTAACACTGTTGGGCTATAATATTGTTTCTCATTTTATTGAAATTTTCTATAATTCATTCCTTCATTATCATCTCACAGAAATTAATGTAATAGAAACTTTTCCTTTGGCAAAATTTTTGTGATTGAGGTGATGAAAAATGCGATCATTAATATTAGAGTACTGTCTCAATTTGTAGGCGAAACAAAACATATATGAGTGAAGCCCAAAGAAGTGCACTGAATGCTCTTCTTTTTCGCACTGGTGACCAGTCAAAGGATATTGTTCTTGCTCTTGCTACAAATCGCCCTGGCGATCTTGATTCAGCTGTAGGGGATCGTATTGACGAAGTTCTGGAATTCCCCTTGCCCAGGGAAGAGGAACGCTTCAAGCTCTTAAAGCTCTATCTAGAAAAATATATAGCTAATGCTGGAATGAGGAAGTCTGGTTTGTTCCAAAACGTTTTTAAAGGACAACAAAAGAAGATCGAGGTCAAAGGACTGACCGATGATATTGTGCGTGAAGCAGCTGCAAAAACGGAAGGATTTTCTGGGAGAGAAATAGCGAAGTTGATGGCAAGTGTTCAAGCTGCTGTGTATGGTAGCGAGACATGCGTGCTTGATCCGAGCCTGTTTCGCGAGGTTGTAGATTATAAGGTTGCAGAGCATCAACAGAGAAGAAAACTTGCTGGCTCAGATGGAGGCAGTGTGCAAAATTGAAGATGTTTTGTAATGTGATATTATAGAAGGCTAGTACTTTGGGATGGAGGGAAATTGAATGGTGGCTCCATCTGGTAGTGTTATTTTAGAGGCTATCCATTCATTGATGAGGGAAATTTTGTATTTCTCTGATGTGAGTTTTCATTACATTTAAGTTAAAGTGGTATTGGTATCTACCACTTGGGTATTTAAAGTATCATTTGTTCATTGAAGTTTTGAAGGTCATATAGAAGAATCCCTGAGGTATTGTAACAAACTTCTAACAAGTTACATGAAATAACGAATTTGTAGGTCAGAAGCTTTCTCGACCATTGGGATAAATCTTAGTCGACCATTCTTTTACAATTTCATTTGCGAAGGTTTGCAGTTCTAATGGATTAGTGAGTTTTGTACTCATTTACTATAAACTATTTGAATTCTTCCCAATTTAAAAGAAATTGTTTTCTCAAATGGTTCCAACTCAAGATTCACATTGATATAGGTTTAAATTTTCAAAACAAATGTGTCCTCTTCAGATGGTTTCAATATTCCAATAGCGTATCGTGTGAGGTTGGTAAAGGTTCGTGTTGTGGATAATAAGAGATTTGTTATATTGAAGAGTTTCTTCTCTTGAGGTGGGAGGTTAACTCTTATTCATACAGGTGGAATCTTAATTTACTTATTTTCTCCTTAGAGCCTTGAATTTTGTTGTGCAAAACTGGAGTGGGAGGCCTTGAATTTTGTTGTGCAAAACTGGAGTGGGAGATGAACTCGCGCCCCTTTGGTTAGATAATGGAAAAGTCCATTTCCCTCTAATAATAAAATAGGAGGAAACACTTTTCAATAGAGGAATCGGTATTCTAATGATTTCAGTGATTCCGGCATAATACAAAGGAAAGAAAAAGGGAAATCATAACCTAAGGAGATACTAATATAATATAATATAAGTAGGGTTAGACACTTCTAACCATCATGATTACCATAATAATATAATATAACCACCGCTTAACATGTGTTTTGGATGGATCATACCCCTATTGTCAAAGTCAAGCACATTTTAGAAATAAAGTACTAGTACTAGGTGATACTATGCTAGGCACATAAGATCGAGGCTAGAAATGAAAAAGTGGGTCATTTCAATCTTGCAACTCCAAGAACATCAAAAACCTTTTATTTGAATTCGAGTCAACATGATAAAGTCATTAGACACGGCAATGAAACAAATTTGGCAAAGACAATGGAACCAGCCAAGTGTGAGTGAATGGAATTCCCAAATTCCTATTTATGCAGGCAGAGTACAACCATGACAGTCATTTCGTTACAGAATTCAAGTTTGGAAAAGGTAGGGTATTGTCTTTCCATGTTCAGGATTGCTGTCTGGAATGATCACTTGCAGATCTTCTCTAGTGATGATGGTCCTGAGTGTAGCGCAGGCCACAGTACTTGCACACGGCAGGCTCCTCCCGATCGAGGCATATGAACTCGATTGGATGACCAAGGCCAGGATTGCTGTCTGCAATCAGCAACAGTTCGTTTGAATCAAAATAAGGAATCACACCTTCCTTAATAAATTACTTAGATTATATGCAAGCATGGATACATGTATGGAGATGGACTAACCTCCCTCACAAGCAACGATACGGCCTTCGACCTTGATCGGTGGAACCTCGTTGATCAACTCCATGGGTGATTTCTTACTTGTATCCTAGATATGGAAATAAAGTAGAACTTTCATATATCCTTCATCATTGGATAGGATCACAAAGAGTAGAATCTATCCCCCCAAAACGGTTGGATATTTCTTAGAAGTAAATGAAAGAAATAAAAATAACTATATCATGTCTCAACAGTCAGTTGAACTTGATTGGCCCTCAATAATTGAAGCAAATAGATGGAAAGAAAGAAAAATGTTGTGAAGTCATGCCAAAGAAAATTCGAGATCCAAACATGCCAAACAATGTATCAATTATTAAAAGAGAACAGTAATCCAGACAATTTCCCAAAAGCAAAATGAAGTCACGAGATATCATTTGAAAATGGAAGAGTTAATTAACAAGACCATTGAAATTGATGCAGTTATAAAACGCACTAACAGCCTGCAACACGGCGTCTGTACTGAAGAGAATACAGATATTGGAAAAAAAATATATGAAAAACTTGCAGCTTTGGGAACAGGGATAACTCAACGAGCTCTATGGTACAAGTAGAATAGTTAAGCAACACAGTAGATGTTGATGAAAACCTAGTTGTCTCAAGCAATCACAATGAAGAAAACCAACCAAATTGCCAAGAATTAAGAAAATTGAACCCCACCAAAGTAAGCTATTTTATTAGCAGGCCGGTTGATTTAGTTACGCAGACTGCAAGATGAATTAAGTTCAATTCCTTCATGTGCCACATCCTTAATGCAGTAAAAAGAAAAATTGAGGGAGTATCGAATAAAAATAGCATTCTCCTTTAATGGAGCAAGAAGAGTTCTGCTGCAGGCAGAAATATCATTGAACAAAGAAAGAATGTCTCTTTCAATGATTAACTCTACTGTCTCTAACGAGCCAGAAGAGTTTCTACAGGCAAAAGTATCTTTGAAGTAAAGAGAAACAACTTTTTCAATGATCAAAACATGAGACATTACTTTCACAACTCAAAACTTCTTCAAAATGTGAAAAATGCATAAGGGTTATGAAGAATTGATCTGCAGTTCGATAGAATCCTACACTTAAATAATAATAATAAAAAAAAAAAACCATGGACAGTTCTCATGTTATACTTTAGAGCACTCCAAAAAAATCCAGGTTATGTAGAATAATTTAGATAAATCTAAGATGGTGTACATGTTACAAAATAGGAAAAATCTATAAAGTCTTGGCTGTTAGACTGACTTAATCCTAGTTAATGGACATGGATGTAAAATCTTATAAAAGAAAGAGTCCTCTAGTCTCCTATTTTAACCAAGAGCTGATAAAATCCATCAATAGAGTGATAAAAAAAAACTCTGCTAATGACATTCTCTCCGACTTGGTTACTAGGCAACTACTCTTCCAAGCAAGCACACTAGAAGGGCTGACTTGCTTCAAGTGCATAAGAATGTTACATGCTGTGACCGTGCAACAGATTAGCTGTTAGGATAAACAAAGATTATGGTTTCCTTGGAATACAAATTCTTAAAACGGTGGCATCACCACTGCAAGGCAATGAGATGTTGGGTTGGAAAGAACATTCAATAGAAGAACCTAGGTCAGTGAAACAACCAAGGGTGTTGCTCATGATTTCCTGGAGATTCATAAGGCAGGGATTCATATGGGACATGCATTCTACAGTTGACAATCTTTCTATATTCCTTTTTCTTTCTATACGAGAAAACCAACTTTCTAGTCAGGAGGGACCATCTGGCACTATCTAGGGGCTGGACATGGAACAGATTGGACCAAGTAGTTAAGACTGGTGTTAACATGTTAAAGAAAATTCACGACAAAGAACTCCAACTTTTGGTAACAAAAAAAGGATAATCACTAACCAGTTTTTAAATCTGAGTTATGAGTCCAAAAAAGAGGATGCATCAAATCCTAAATATCATCCCACCATCCATCTAACTGAACAAACATTCTTCTATTTTTCCTTTCTAGCCAAATAAACTACGCCAAAAAACCCCATTTTCAACCTGAACACCATCCATCATCTCATGAATGCTCAACCTCAAACAACAAATAATCCAAAACTATATGAAAAACGGCTCCAAACTCATGAAGAAAAGGGCATACCCAGAAGCATAGTTTCAATCTTTTTCCCATATGTCCATGACTACACAAAACACACCAGTTCACGAAACCAGGCACTCTGCAAACAATTTGAGGCAAGATCTCTATAAATATGTCACATTGCAATAAATCTGAGGGATAGAGCTCAAAACCATTGTGGTGTTGACTTGGTTCAATGCAAGGAAAGGATTACTGTTCAGTGATGGGTAAAAGTAGTTGCATGTTGCACCAGCATTGGTGGTAAAGGGAGTTTTGAGGCAAGCAGCTTAGCTAATTTAGCTATTTTAGGGTATATTTGGTTTGAAGGAAATCGGAGGATTTTTAAAACGGTTAAGGATTCTTGGGAGGAGGTCTGAGGATTGGCCTATATCAAACCTCTATCTAAGTGTCCCCACTTTTTGGTTTGTAACTATCCTTTACTTTTGGTTCTTAATAATTGGAACCTCTTCTGGTAGTCATAGTTCCTTTTTTCTAGGGATTGCCTCTCCATGGCCTGCATCTTAATGAAAAAATCTTATACATAGTAATAATGATAATTGAGAAGATATGAAAGCCATTAGAAAGCAACATCAACAGTCATAGAACCTGTTGAAGGAGAATGTGGTACCCTGAGAAAAGTAAATTGCATTCATAGGGTCCAACTCAGAAAAACGTAGGCGTGAAAGACAAAATCTTAGTTAGGCAGCTAGCTTAAATACACAGGTCATGTAATTGGTAAGAAACTTTTATTCCCGAAGGTCATAGAAGGTATGACATGAAGTGAGTTGAAGAAGCCTTCTGCTCAATTGTAATATGAGGTGGTGGGTTATTTCTTCAACCTGGAAGTGCAACCATATTGCAATCATTTTAACGCAATGGCAATGCAGTTTTGTGGTAGAAGACTTAGATATTGCCGAGCAAGGAAATGAAAATGAATAAACAAGTTCCAACTAGAGAATACTAGGCATGTAGATGTCAATTATCGAGTTCAAAAGAAGAGCTCAAATCAACCCTAGAAGAAGAGCCAAAAGTTCTAAACAGACATGGTGATAAAAAAAAATGATCCGCGGGAAATTTTTCTGGCATTGCTATGCACTCGTACAAGAAGACACCAACACCTGCTCCTTATGCACCAGGATGCAAGAAATTCGGAAGATTTGTTATTCATGACAGCTCCTCGTTTTTTTTTTCTTCATTTTTCAACCTGGAGGAGTTCTCTTTTCTACTTTTATACATTCTTTAGGAAGATGATAGCTCGTCAGTTCTCAAATATCAACGAAAAGTTCATGTTTCTAATCAAAAATAAAAATTTGGCAGGTGGCTATCAAGAGAAAAGGATATAGAGAAATAGCTCTTTAATATTTATAAAGGTGAGGCATGTTCTCTGATAATCTTCATGTACATATAAAACCAACAGAACATGAAGAAGATAATACATAATCTAAGCAGGGAGGCGAGGGGGAGATAGTTAGGTGAGAAATAAAATATTTGTATAGTTTATATAAATTTGCTTCGATGAAAGACGAGCACCAAAAGGTTTAGCATCCATCAGTGCCACTGGAAAACAAGTTTCTTTCTGTTCTCTTCAAATAACATGAATTAATTTCCACATAAAAAAAAATCGATCAAAAAAAAAAAAGGAACAACAACAACAAACAAAAGAAAACCACCACATAAATTGGGAGCCTTCAAACCCAATCTCTAAATCAGTTCTCGGGTAAAGTTAGAAAGAACAACGAATTATAAACAAGAACACAAAATCTGCAGAGATCAATTGAAACACAGGCATGGAAGCAATAAATTTCAAAGGAAGGATTTGCGATAAATTACTGGATACCTGCATCCATTTGGCGGTGTGCTGGCCGATTTGGTTGCTAACAAGACTCAGACTTCTAGCCGAAGAAGGAATTTTGGAGGAAGATTCAACAAGTGCTTTGAAAAGACTCGACGCCATTGATCCACCGATCAAACACACAACCTGAGATGGAGAAAGAGAGCGCAAAGGAGAGCTACGGCCAGAGAGAGCTCGAAGTATAAACGCTCGACGGAAGTTTTGCCCCCAAAATAAATAGTAATAATAATAATAATAATAATAATAATAATAAATATAATATTTCATTTTTATTTAATAAGAAATAGCATATTTCCAAATAAGATTTTTTTTTTTTTTTTTTTTTTGTAGATGACCATTTACTATATTTTAAAGCTCGATCTTTCTCTTGCCTCGACAAAAGTTTATTAATAATGAATCAATAGTCCAAATACTCGAAATATTTCAAGTCATGAAGTTAGGATTGAATCCATGGTATATATTTGAAAGAGGTCGACCTCCTTACTTCTCTCATGTTGCAATTTTCTTTCTACCGAGCACCCTTTCTCCTGGATGACAAATGGCTGGGAGAGAGAAAAAGTTCATTTTTTTTAGGGTACCCGAAAATAGGTCTAGTGGAGATGGGGTGGGGTCTGTAACTTAGAGGATTAGAGGCTAATAATGTAATGGGCAAAAAGGTAAATTGAAGGATAGTTCGGTCTTTAAGTGATTGGACCCTCCTAGGTAACCCTAATAATACTAATAAGGTTACACTTATTCTCACGTTTAAGTAAGCTAGTCAACTAAAATTTGAGTTAGAGTGGAACAAACGATCTATACTCAAGCCTTTGACCCCATTTTTAAAAAATTGTTTTAAAAAACGAGCTCAGAGAAGATTTTGAAATACATTTTGAACACGATTTAAGAAAACAATTTTAGAAACTAGCCAGTAATTAGGAACAGGAATGACCATGGATAACATATAACTTTAGTACAGAGAATTAACGACTAATTACATTCTCATATAGTATATTCTCATATAGTATATTCTGAAACATTTTAACCTTGGCATGACATTTATGAAGAGTCATACGCACGTAAACTATAATATAAAATAAAAAAACAACTACTTAACATGGACAACACGACCTAGACAAGTATGACCATGACACTCAACATATGTTTTAGTGTAGAATTTGTATCTGTATCTCTAATATTTTAAATGAAGATCCATGTTTGCGATACCCTTTGTGTTCAATAGATCGAGAAGATGTTTACATTCATATGCTTAAAGCCGTAGACGAGTAAGTTCTCGATAAGAAACTCGGCCTATTTAACAGATACCTATGATAACAAGAATTCATATATTTTTTTGTTCTAGAATAGGATTGAATGTTAATTTCCTCGTATATAGTAACTGCACCTGAATGAGCTTTATTTTGTCAGGTTGTCCCATCCTAAACTGAAGAGATACAAAGATAATTGATCATTTACAGAGCTTACAATAGATAACGTTCATCACAAGCTCATCCAACTTCCTCAAAACTATATTGGTAAGAAGATGATCTTCGTCCAATCAATGCCACTTTTCAGCCTCGGATGTCTTCTCGGTATGGCGTAAATGACGAAATCAATCGATCCACGACTGCAAATTCCTTCATCCTGTGTGATGCCATCTCAACAAGGTTGAAGAGAGAGAACAAAACAGCAGTTCGGTCAGTTTACGTAATCTTTCGATCCCATTTAGTATCCTCGAGTTTCAAGTTCTCGGTTTCTTAAAGCAACCTGGGACGTTTCTGCTATCGTTACAAGGAGTTTGATGAACATATATCCAGAATATTCTCCTTTATGTGTACCTTTTCGAGTCGCTTTGCTTCTCAGTCAAATGACAACCGGCAGGTAACGTGCTGGCAAATCGGATCGTTGAATACGTTGAGGCTCAAGCAGACTCTAGCTTCAATCCGACTCGAAGGTCTTTCAAGAATGAAAGACCCAAACTTTTCATGGAATCCAAAATATTCAATGCTTCATCCTCTTTTCCTTCAACCTTGTAAAAATGTACAGCTGCACTCATGATAAACCTGTCTCCTGCATATTTACATGAAGATTCAAAGAACTCGATACCTTCTTTGACATATCCGTAGTCGAGGTAACCTCTCATCAACGTCCGATTGCACGTAACATCGGGATTTAAACCATCTGTTAGAAGTTTGTCATAGACTTTTTCTGCTTTCCGTATCATACCGACCTTTGCCAAAGCCGAGAGCAACAGGTCGTAATGTGCACAAGATGTGGGGATGCCATTTTCCTTCATAGAGTTGATGATTTCCTCAGCTTCTAAGTATTTGCAATTGTGTGTGTAAGCTCGAATGAGTGAGAAGTAGGTAAAAGAATCAGGTAAGAGACCATCTTGCTCCATTGCTTTGAAAAGCTTCTCTGTTTCTTCTTCAAGTCCGGCCGTAGCATATACATTGGCCATAATGTTGTAGCTGACCTGCAGTTTTATGTAAGTCAGCACCAGACTTGTAGAACAATTCAAAGAACACAAGGAAATAAACATTTTGCTATTGTATGGTGCAGCTGAACAACTCTAGTTCTAATAACGGAGCAAAGGTGTGAGATCCCACGTCAGCTGGGGAGGAGAACGAAGCATTCTTTATAAGAGTGTGGAAACCTCTCCCTAGCGGACGCGTTTTTAAAACTTTGAGGGGAAGCCCAAAAGGGAAAGGTGGGATTGGACCGTTACAAATGGTATCAGAGCCAGACACTGGAAAATGTGCCAGCAAGAAGGCTGAGCCCCAAGGGAGATGTACACGAGGCGGTAGATTTGGGAGAAAGGAACTCGTTGGCCCCGAAGGGGAGTGGGCTTGGGCCGTTACAAATGGTATCAGAGCCAGACACCAGACACCGGACGATGTACCAGTGAGAAGGATAAGCCCTGAAGGGAGGTGGACACGAGGCAGTGTGGATGCTAGGCTTGAATCGTTACAAATGGTATCAGAGCCAGACACCGAACGATGTACCAACGAAAAGGCTCAGCCCTGAAGGGGGTGGACACGAGGCGGTGTGCCAGCAAGGATGCTGGCCCCAAAGGGGGTAGATTTGGGGGGTTCCACATCGATTGGAGAAAGGAACTCCCTAGCCCCGAAGGGGGTGGATTGTGAGATCCCACATCGGTTAGGGAAGGGAACGAAGCATTCTTTATAAGGATGTGGAAACCTCACTCTAGCAGACACGTTTTAAAAACCTTGAGGGGAAGCTCGAAAGGGAAAATCCAAAAAGAACAATATCTGCTAGCAGTGGGCCTGGGTCGTTTATTATAGGTTAAATCACCACTATACCTAAAAGTTTAAACGGATAGGCTATGGTATGCTTAATTATTTATACATATCCTTAACACCATACAAATCCAAGGGAAATTATGAGTTATGAGAGTACCATCCCAGGCTTAATCCCTTCTTTCAGCATTTCTTTGAATAGCAAGCTTGCTTCATGCGTCTTACCTACAAAGTACGATAGTGAAATATTAACTTATATGAATTTCATTACAATATATACATAGTAATATCATTGACCGAATGCGCAAAATGAATCATAGACCATAGTGCAATTAAGTTCAATGATATATAATTAATTTTACAAGGTTATTTGATCGAGTCTGGAGAACACGATACCAGCCTTCCCATAGAAGCTAATCAGGTTAGCATATGCCTTTTCATCAGGAGAGTGACCCGAGCTGCGAGCTTCATTAAACATTTCTACAGCTTTATCGAGCTTCCAACCACGTCCATAAACGCTGAAGCCACAAAAGCCAATATCGATATCGATATAAATATCTTTTACTAATGGGAGAGGCAGTCTCAATAGCTCTGGCTATCAGTTTCAATAAATTTGGAGTCATTTCAAGTTTCAAATCATACCTAATCATGGTGTTATATGTCTGAATTGATGGTACAATGCCAAGAACAATCATGCGCTTATATATTCTGGATGCAAAATGCAGTTTCCCTGCAAATTAGAACATGTTATATTCATAGTGAATGTTTTTCAAGAAGTATTCATCACTCAATTTATTGATATATTTGACGCTAACCAACCTGCCTCCAGCATTGCCTTGATAAATGTATTGAATGCCACTGTATCAAGCTTCAAGTCAGCTTTAAGACTAGCACGTACGACACTCTCTGCTGCTTGATGTTTTCCTGGAAATAATTCAATGTATAATACTACCTCAATAGCAGAAGAAATGCAAAGAAAAGTCTAAAATGCTACCATGTTTAATTGGTTTAGATTATGTGATAACTCAGTCACAAAATTAAATGACCACTCGAAGAGTTGGAATGGGTCGGCTTCGGGAAATCTATTTCACCGGGCCAATCAGCATAGCAGTAAGCAGAGTGTCACAGTCGTACTTTTTCAAGCGTGCGGCATCATGATCTTATCACACTCATGACAAGCCTTGAGGGAACTCAAACCTCATTTACATTTTTTGTCCGGCTTTGTGACTTTGTCGGACCTTAGGCGAGGTTCTTTTTTACCAACCGAACACAACTCTTGTAGAATCTAAGCTTGTTCGGCCACACATGCTGCTCATGCGTGCACGTTCAATCATCTGCAACTCTACTATGTCTCTATTCTCGGCCAAGGTCTCTCATACACAACGTCGCATCTCGTCTTGTCATCAACTTGTCATCTAGGTTCCCCACAACACGGGCTATGTATTGCAATGTCACCAGCCATCTTAACACGCTTAGACATGTTTACCAAGTACTAACCCCATGAGTCAACTATATTGTCGGGACATCTTGAACATCCATCCATTTGAGTCCAATCGAGGCATGAACCCTCCTATGTCCATGTCGAGTCATTTACAGATATTGTACCGAATAGCAAGTGCATATATCAACTAATGACAAATGGGTTGGGGTGCAATGTCAGCACGGACACTGTCCTCAAAAACCCATTTTCAAAGAAATACACCCAAGATACTCGTCTTACAACGCTCGCCTACGCTGTGGCACACGTATGTGCCACAAAGTAGCTCACTTAGACCACATGGCCCAAGAGTGGTGGACACATGGCCCAAGAGTGGTGGACAGTTGATACCATGTCTCCCCCTATAGTATATTTTGGAGCATTTTTGGACTAGCAGGAGTCGCATGATTTTGGCATACAGTCATATGTGTTCAATTGACATCAAATTTGGCCCCCTTTCATATTTCATATATACGGACTTAACTCTAGAGTCATATGTCAAAACTCATAACGAAATCCTGACTTCCGAGGTTAAGGCCAGGGGCCCTACCAGGCTCTTTTTCGAGCTTATCTATGACACTCTTGTCTATCCTATGCCTCTATCTATCTTGCTTATCCCTCAACTTGACTTCAATGTACACTTTCTCTGGTGTGTTAGATAATGCATCGTCCTTCTCGGTCGCATCATGGCACTTGTCTATCTTAGCCCTCACATGGTTGGATGGACACCACTTGGGGGTTACTGTCTTGTCTGTCTCCATGTGAGAGCCACAACCTACTCTCTTTCTCAGTATGGTTGTGACATTCTCCCTCACTTAAACTAGTCAGCGTCCTCAATAACGCGCTCAATAACTTTCTCAGAGGCATAACACACCATCATAAATTGTGACACAGAGCACCCAACTCTAACCTCTGATAGTCATATGCTACAAAATTTTCTAAGAGTTCCACAGTAAACTTCTATCTGGTTATTGGCTTTGAAAACATTTAAAGCCTAAACCTAAACTAGTACAGGTCAATATCTCTGTAGTTTCCATCAGTCATTCATTTTACATTTTAGCCTTTCAAACTATTTAAGAAGAAAGTGGTATGAACAGCTACAGAAGAAGAAGACTAATCAAACAAGAGTAAGTAAAAAAGGAAAAACAGTATGTCGATCACTTATACGACTCCACAACGTACCAGCAATACTCAAAGTATTCACCATTCTGCTGACAGCAACAGCACCAAGATCATATCCTTTCTCAATTACCTCATTGTAAACCACGAACGCTTCTTCTGCTTTATCACATTTGATATACGCATCGATCATAGAACCAAAAATCAATTCCGATGTGCAAGAATCTGAAACTGCTGCAAAAATTTCAGCTGCTTGATTTATTTTCCTCTCTTTCCCATACAAACTGATTAAGGACGCTGTAGTAGCGTCATCTAGCCGGTAGCCAAGCTCAAGTAATTCTTTCGTAAGAGTTTCTGCTTTCAATGCATCGCCTGTAGAGTAAAGACATTAATCGAGCTTGCCTTAAACCGACAGCATAGATATATAAATCCATAAAAGAAATATTATCGTAACTCAAAAGACATAATTTTCTTGCCTTCTCTAATCAAATTAGCTACAAGTTGACTCACAACGGTCACGCCACCGTCCCTAAGTATTAATTTCAGGATCCTATTCCTTTTACCAACATCGCCGTTCGCCAAATACAGCCGAAGTATCATATGAAGAGCCATATAATCTGGTTGGTCATAGCTTCCAATTGTATTTTCATTCATCATAAAGGAAAATGTCTCCATAAATTTCTTATCAACAAATAACTCTTCCTTCTTCATAAGTTCAACTAAAATTTCAGCATCTTTTAACATCCCCTCCTTGCAATAGACTCTCATAACCAATTTATAAAGTTCCTCGTCGAAGACTACCCCGTCCTTTCTTATATGGGCTATAAAATCTTTTGCCTCGTCCACCAAGTCTAATTTTAAATACAAATTGAGAATATCAATACACGAACGAGCATCAGGAAGCCCCGTTTTGGATAAAGCTTGAAATGTGGATTCTGCAGACCTTATATCTTCTTTCATAACATAACACTTTAATGATACTATATAAGCAAATCTTGACAACCAAATGTTTCTAGATTTCATCAACTCAATTATGTTTAAAGCTTTCTCGAAGTTTCTCGCACCGAGATGGACTTGAGCCATTGCCAAATAGCTCTTCTCATCTGTAAGTAAACCAAGTTGCTCCATTTCTTCAAATGTTTTATGGGCATCCTCATGTAGACCCAATTTTCCATATATTCTAATAAGTAATCCATATATAACTTCATCAACCACCACTTGTTTCGTTTCCATCTCGGAAAATAGAGAGAGGGCTTTAGAATAATCTCCATTCTTGTAAAACAATGTCAGGAGTGAAGAACAAGTGTAGCTACTTGGAACAATATCCTTATCTCTCATATCCTTATAGAGCCTCAAAACTTCATCCGAATTACCTCGCTTTGCGCTTAAATTAATAAGTAGGTTATACGTCCCCTCTTCAGGAACGAACCCACGGTTCTTCATCTCGTCGAAAACTTTGAAAGCCTCCTCACTATGTCCTTCCTTAACAAGTGAGTTGATAACTACAGTATAGGTAAATTCATTGAATGTCACTCCTATCTCTACCATCTGCATCCATAGTTCTTTGACCTCGGCATGGAGCCCCTTCTTCTGCAAGGACGACAGCATAAAATTGAAAACGGCACTCGAAGGTATAATTCCCCTATCCTTGACAGCAGAATAGAAAGACAACATAGCCTTATGATGTCCCCATCGGGCGTATGTACATAACATCGTTCCACAAGCAACTTCGTCTGGTTCTAATCCAACTTCAAGCATCTCCAAGAAAGTTTCTTCAGCTAGCTTTATTTTTCCAACTTGTCCATATGTTCGCAAAACAATCGTGTAGACAATGACGCTTGGGCGATAACTCAACTGTCCAAACAGAAGCCTACGATTACGACATATTTGATTGAATGCTTCATTTCAAACTATTATGTAGTAACAACATTCCAAAGTGTAACTACGAAGGACCCAACAGACATTGATTTTAATCAAACATCCAACAAAAGGGTATTAGTTCAAGCCACCTGAAGAACAGTTTGTGTATCATCATGGATCAAACATGGCATTGGTAAGATATAATCAAGTTTATTTACTCTTCAGCTAGCTGAGCAAATTCCATGAAAACAGCAACATTCTAAACAAAACACAATCAAAAGGACATAATTCCTCAAAACCCACCTGCAATTTCATCCAATCAAGCACATCTCTGACCTGCCTCCACCCCTTCTGCTCCTTAAGCACTATACACATCTCCCTAAAGGTCAATTTTCCAACAAAAGAAGCCATCTCCATTCTCATATCGTACTCTCCCTCGGCTCTCTGAGATAAACTCCGCACGTGCTTAATCGCCGCCACCACATGCTTTCCATAGAGATGGCCATTTTTATCGTCCTCAAGGTACTGCACCATCTGTTCCGGAGTTCTCTTGATCCATTTGGGCGTTTGAGCTCTTGGGCCCTGATTTCGACGCAGTACACTGAGGTACTGAGCCTTGGCCTTGATGATTCGACGGGCGTTGTCGTCGGAAAGCGGTTTTTTGGCGTTTTTGGACCTGGGTTTTGGTCTTGCGGGATTGCCATCGCTGAGAGACCAAGGATCGGGCGTTACCGACGAGCGGATGATGAAAATTTGGGGTTTTCTGGACTTTAACGGGCAACGGCTGCTGCGATTGGAAGGTGGAGGGAGGAGGACTGGACTAAGGAATGAAGTCTTGAGGGACTCCATAAGAAGTTCTCGGAGAAACTTACCACGAAATTTGCTGTTCGTTCTGAGACATCAGGAGAGGTTAATGGATAAAGCAAGGACCGTACCGATAAGTTTCAACTTGTTTCAAATTTTCAAGTTTTAGTGGTATGGAGCTAAAAGGGGTTTATCTCTCCTAAACACTCAAAAAAGTTTATAAATCATCTCTTGTATTATAAATTTAATTCCTCGTAATTCGTGATCGTCATGTTCTCTCTCGATCAAAACTGATTTTCACATGCAACCTTACAAATTGAAGTCGATGCATAAATAGAAGCTCGATCTAAAGAAATGCACAAGAACAAGAGTTGATCGCTCAAAATAATTCATGGAAGAACGACTTTGACAAGCAACCTTTTATAGATGCTTTGGTAGACTCTCATGTCGACCAACAAAGAAGAGGAGTTAACCAAAATGGTTGGTCGAGGCTCCTCATAATCATATTTTGGTGGATGGTGATTGAGATCGAGCTATACGAGATTATATGGTATTTGAAATACTTTGTGCGTACACAAGCTGTATCGAACGCTATTCACCACATATACGTAAGTAATTTTAGGAAATACTCTAAGGTCGAACCAGCAAACAAAATTTGAGTCTATACAAGATAATACATCTATGTGTCGAAGTTAGTTCGACCGTACAATGTCTAAAGTTAACTCAAATGGTTAGCACTAGATCCCCCAGAATGCTCCATTCGTGGTTCAGAAGCGGATAGGAAATAATAAGCATATGGCCAAAAAGGCTACCTTCCAAGACTCCACACCTAGAGGCTCTTCTTGCATTCTCTCTACGCTAGCACATTTCATGGACCAAAACAAACACTATCGAGCCTGTTCGTGACAGAGAAGTGGTCATGTAATCTAACCAATAGGACAACAAATGTCCAAAATGATATGATATTGTCTATCTTGAGCGTAAACTCTTATGATTTTGTTTTTGGTTTTCCCAAAATGTCGATAGCGTCCCTTGTTTATATACTCATAATTTTTTCATTAATTAACCAACATAATTAAACCAATATTCACGTGGAAACTATTTGTCTTCGTCAATAATCATATAATATATTAAAAGTTGAGCCACTGTTTTGGTTGATCGAGTTTGACTTGATTCAACAATATCACAATTCTTGTTCTCGTCAAGATATCAATTTTCCTTGGCTACCTCGCCATTTTTTTCTTCTATAGATCTTGTTTGAGATCAAACAATGAAGTTTGATTTTCCACCATCTCTACTTCGCGAGAACAACATATTTATTGATATTTTTGGCTAATCTTTGGCTTGTCGATCTAATTGGACCGATCATTCACTTGTTGATCATATTTGAATTGCATATTGGCTTGTTAGTCTTTTCAGATCATCCTTGACTTGTCGAAACAAAATTTTATGTTTTAGTATACATATACATATAAAAATTTCAATCCGTAAATTTTATGTTTATTTTAAAAAAAATAAAATATAACATGATTTGACTTTTCTAACATGCTTTTTGTATATCTCATTGGATGTAATATCTATCGGTTGATAAAACTTGTAAATTAAAAACTCTATGATTCGTTCTTATTAATGCCAATCATTTTCTTTGATGAGATTTTCATTTTTATTCAAAGTTTTGCTTGTTCGATCCAAATTCTCTACTATGTTCTATTCCTTTTAACTTTTCTTCTTACGTCATTCTCTTTCACTTTTGATGTGGACTTTTTTTTTTTTTTTTTTTTTTTTTTTTTTTTTAATTTATAGTCGAAAACAATCCTCAATAATAATTAACTTTGTGTTTATCTCATATTTATTAAATATGATAAATGTTTGAAGGATGAAAAAAAATAAGATAGGATAAGAATGAAGTTTTTAGGTTCAAGGATTTAATAATTAAATTAAAATGGACAAAATTTAATACTGGAAAATGTAATAATGGTTTCTTTATTTTAAGAAATAATGATTGATAATGACATTTAATGTAAAACAATTATTAGTAAAATAATTTTGAAAATAAATTCTAATACAGAAGTTTTTTTCTTTTTTTTTTTTTTGTTTTGTTCAAAAGTGGAAAGCAAAAAATGAAAAAGAACGACCTACACGACCCGAACACAACCCAACTTGAAAATAGAAAGTTAGTCTAAAAGATTCCTCCAATCCCGTATAAACTCCCAAACCCCATGTGTCTAAGGTCTCCAACAATGGATATTAGAAAGGAAAAGGACAAGTTGAAGTTCGACTAACACATAAAAATAACTTGGACTATTATTCCGACCATAGAGAAATTTGAACCTATTTTCAGATTTAAAAAAAAAAAAAAAAACAAACTTACAATAAACACAAAAGAAAGAAAAAAAAGCTAGAAATTAACTAATAAGATGGATTTTTTTTTTCTTTTGAAAAAAAAAAAAGAAAAAAGAAAAAAAGAGGGAGAAGAACATGAGTGTGACGAGTTATATTGTATTTGGTATTAGGCGTAGGGGAAGCTTCATTCAGGCTTGCGGCAAGTAATAATGGCAAATTTGATGAGATCTTTCTTGAATCCTTCAATCATCAATGGCATTACTAATGCCCCTTTTATTGTTTTCCACCCTGTTTTTCACCCAACAAAGTATTAATTGTGAATACCTTTTTAAGTGGTAAAAAAATAATAATTTACAACTATTTAATTTACCACTTCGCAAGAGCGATGAGAAGCCATTCCAAGTGAATGCTGACCGAATAACTGCTGGCCAAAACGGAGCAACATTCCTAGACCAGTCTGCCGTCCTTACATCCTGTTCAACACCACAACAATGCCTTTTCACATCTCACGTTTTTAGCTCAAAATCCCACATGGGTTTCATCAATTCATTAACTTCTACCCACCATTCTAGATATTATGGATGTTTCGTGAATATCAATACTCCGTGTAATGAAAGATCAAGCTTATTCAGTTCAGTCCTTTTATTGGCATTAATTATGTCTACAATAGTTAAACTCACCACTAATAGGACCGTTATGTATCACCGTCAGCTTTACAATTTTAAAATGCATCTATTAGGAAGAGGTTTCTATACTCTTCCAAGTAATGTTTCGTTCCTTTCTCTAATTAACGTGGGATATCACAATTCATATCCCTTGGGAGCCCAGTGTCCTCGCTGGCATACTGACCGATGTTAAGCTCTATACGATTTGTAACAGTCAAAGTCCAAAGCTAGTAGATAATATCTGCTATAAGGGAGAGGTGTCCACGCCCTTATAAAGAATGCTTCGTTTCTTTCTTCAACCAATGTAGGATCTCATATGTCAACCCACGAGGCTTAAATTTCAAAGACGACAAATAAATAGATATGATGATGCTCAAAGTAGGAGGAGTATGATACCTGGAGACCGTGGGACTCGAGTAACTTGACGTAATCAGCAGTGGAGCACCAAGCAGGGAGATAGAAGCCATCACAAATCTTCTGAAGGAGTTTGTGCTCCCATGGCTGCAAGGAGTCCTCAGAAGGCCCAAGGTCTCTATGGCACCATGTCACTATAATTATGGTGGCTCCTGGGGCTGCAACTCTAACCAGTTCACTCACAAACTGCAGAGGTTGAAAGAGGTAAGGCATACAAACAAACAGACACGAACTTCAAAGTAAAAGTCAAGCAAAGGAGAAAAAATAACCTTGGATTTGTCAGGCATGTGCTCCCCACTCTCCATGGACCATACCAGATCAAATTCCCCATCTGAGAATGGTTGGTTCAGAGCATCTGCCACTTCAAAACACACCTACCACTCACCAAATATCCTCTTATTATTATCAACGTGTGTCAACTTTGTTCTAACATTTCAGATTCCTTCATAGATAACCGAGCCCATCATCTCTACAACTTTTACAATATCTATTTTCATTTTTAAAATTTTCAACCATAGTTCATAACCTAGTTCAATGGGTTGATCCTCACATGTTCTTGAATTCATAATTGGATATTCAGCTCATCCTTGCATGTTCTTGAGTTCATGATTCAACATTCATTTCATAAATTATATCATCTGGTTATTCAATTAGAGGTCAAAATAGATCTTAAAATGGACCCAAAAAAAAGTACTAAACATTTTGAGAAGTAGTGGTTGTGTGGGCACTCTTTTCACAATTTCAGCAACCAAACAAGAAAAGGACTAATCCAGCAGGTACTCATTATTTTGGTTGTATTACTTGATTCGTGACTAATTTTCAAGTTTGGTATCAAAGCAAAGAAAACGGTAAAACAAAAGCGTAACGGAAATTCTTCAATGAAGAAAATACAAAACAAGATAAATGGAGAAGAACAAAAAAGAACAGAGGATTCAACGACGTCCATACCTTATCACTTAATCCAGCATCAGCAGCAATCGCTTGAGCGCGTTTGGCTTGAACAGGGCTCAAAGTTATACCTCTACATTTCGCCCCAAATTTCCTCGCCAAATACCTCGAACTTCCCCCAATCCCACACCCAACATCCACCACCGCCGTCGCCGCCTCCACACCGGCAAACCGGAGCGTCTCCTCAATCATCCGGATTTGCGCGGCACGGTGATCAGAGAGAGAAACGGAAGAATCAGGATCGTAAAAACCATGGTGCATATGCTCACCCCAAACGTTCTCCCAAAGCCCCGACGATTCATCATAGAACTCAGCGATTCCCTTTTTGAGGCTATCGACATCCATATCGATCTCAACGTCCGTCGTCGTCGCGGCAGCGGCAATCAGAGGGCAGTTGCGGCGGCGACGAGCGAAAGAAGAAAAGGAACGACGGAGAGGAATCGGAGAAAGGATTGCGGCGTTGAAGCGATTGGAATGGAGGGAGGAGAGGGAATAGGAAGGCGTAAGGATTGGAGTTGCAGTGGTGAAGCTCATTGCTGCTTACAATATATAAAGAAAGGAGCAATGGCCGACGACAAGCCGTTGGGAAAGTAAAGCCGCGCAGAGATTCTGTGAGAGAAGATACAGAAAAAACTATGCGATTTTTTTTTTTTTTTTTATAATTATAATANTATATATATATATATATATATATATATATATATATATATATATATATATATATATATATAAATATTAAAATTTATAATTAAATATCTCCCCATTTTTAAGAAAATTTTAAT